ATTTTAACAGTCTCCTAAATTCTTCTCACGTACATCCCATCAGTTGGTACAAGTCCACAGAGTACGTCTGGTCTATATACACATATAGTTAACAGTCTAGTCTAGCTACCGTCAGTATCCACCTACTCTGCTGTATTTCATCCTAAAAGTTGATCCCGACGCTCTTATACTATCTATATACGTTCCTTCGTTTCACTGAAATTCATTAAAACTCTTGTTAGGTATCTATTAATTACCACTTTAATTTAACCAGAGATTACCCAACTTTTTCGTAAAACCATAAAACTACTTTATTAATTGGCTTTCCATTTTTCATTTTGCAACGTGCCTTTTTTTTTAATTTTTATAAAAAAAATATTATTGTAAAAGTAAGAAATGGTGTTGAAAAAAATAAAGCACCCATTTAAAACCCTTCAATCATTATTCAAAAGCTCTGCTTTCATACTTTTATCGCCTTTCTACCTCTCGGTTTATTAAAACTCTAGAAAATAGTCATCGACTTCTTCAATGAAATAAATTTAATACATAACATATAATATGCACGTAACTTGTAAATTTTTTAGGAAAAAAATTTTTGAATTCTTTTAAATTGTAATTACTGATTTAAAAAAAAATTTGCAGTGTAGACCGACTGTTTTTTAATTTGAAAAATAATTAATTCTCGTTATATTGCATTACACCATTATTATATTGTGATTGTGAGTTCTTTATTGTCTGGCAGCCTAGTTTTAGAGTAGGATCCGGGACAGAGTAATCATACATGCGGGTGTACACATCGTAGAAGCCATCGGTGAGATACACCTATTACTATATCAATTTTACAATTGCTATTACTATTACTATTACTATTACCATTGTTATTGTTATTTCTATATACCGAGTAACATATATAATAATGTATACAGTATGTAGTATATAGTATAGCCTATGTTGTTATCTGGAGCAACCGGCATGTGTGTCTGTTGGTGGGCTGTGTCGTATTGATCTGGTAGGTCGCCGCCTGCTCGCTGCTTTTCTGCCGTAACTGCTACATTGGTACACACCTACACCTCTAATATAATACTACTACTACTTCTACTTTTACTACTAATACTTTTCTACTACTACTACTACTACTACTACTACTAATTCTCATACTAGTATTGGTAGATATGATGATGTATATATTATATACACCCCAGAGAACGCAAACGAGAACGAGAACGAGATAGACAGACTCAATAATAATAAGGATGCAGGATACTGAATAAAATGGAAGGATATATACATTTATACATCGGAGGCATCCGCCCTTTTTAATAAAATTATATTTGTATCAAAATATTCCAAAAATATGGAAATCGCGAGTGAGGGTATGGGCTTTTTATATTTTGTCATTGCAAAGATAGCAAAGAAATTTGTGACTTGGGAATACAAGGAAAAATTTTTTTTTGCTATAATATTTAACGAGTTTATTCGGGATTGTCAAATTTCATATTTGATATATCATTTTTAATATTTAAACTTTCACAAGTACTAATTTGAAACGAATTTATATCTCTATTTGATCAGAGAATACCAAGTGACTATACAGGGTGATTCAGAATTACTGACATACACAGTCGAAAATTTTGCGTCATTTTATACACGGATCATGTGTAACACGCCACGTTACGACTACACATTTTTATGTAATTTATATGCAAACATTCAACGTGTAAATATTAATGTATTATATTGTGTACAAAATTTTTTGACATATTGACGGAAAATTTTTAACTGGATATTTTTTTCACTACTTTATTAATTATCATCTTTTTTTATTTTTTATTTTATATTTATTATCCTAAAGATGGTAGGTTTTATTATAGTGATAGTAACTATTGCTATAATAAGATTTCAGTCAATAACATTATGATACTAGTAAATATTAAAAAAGAACGATAATAATCATAATCGTTCAATTTTCTCCGTGTATAGGAATAATTCCTATAATAGTATAGACAAAATTCTGATAGTAGTTCAGGCATAATTCTAATAATAGTTTTGAAATAATTCCAATAATATGTGTAGGAAAAGTCCCTATAACTTCCTTAGTTTAGTGAGACAAATAACAATCCAAATGAAATTACTAAAAGTTTAGTAAACCTATTAGAGGCTTTACTTTTGAATTAGCTATTTTTTTTAAAAACTTATAAAGTTAGCAAATCCAATTACACCACAAAATTACTATAAAACACTTCTTTAATTGTCAATTTTCGATTTTAAACTAAAAAAAAATTTTACATTTTCTTTCTTCAATATTTCAAAATTTATAGTGATAAAAGTTCGAATAATATAATCAAAGTTTTGAATTTTGCAGTTTCTTTTTTGATTTGGAATATTGTTAATCTGTATAGTTGATTGCAACCTTATTTAACGAGATTAAAAACAACACATTATCTTCAAAAAAATTACCACAATTATTTCTCTGCACAATAAAACATGTAAACGAGGGGAAAAATGATATTATATTACATTAAAAGGAGTTGGGGCTGTTAAGAATAATTTAGGGGGAGAAAAAACTTAAAAAGTGTAAATAAAGAAAAAGGGTGAAGCTGGTAGTAAAATAACGAGAAAACTCGTAAGAAGTGTTTTCCAATTTGTGATAATGGAAGAGGAAGATAAAATTCTTCTTGAGAAAAAACCATTTGTAATAACAAGTGGTTTAAGGAATAATTGTAATAGAAAAATCTAATTTACTCTTTGTGCCCCGTACTAGTAGATTTTGTTCATGTTATTGCTTTCTGTTCGCAGCTTATTGTCTTTAGCCTTATTCTTATCCTTACACGGTACTAGTGACTTTTAGAAACTTTAAAAGTAGACGAAATTAAGTTAAGCGCTACGACAGCGATCGATAGAACCAATCAGTCCTCGTAGACGATTGGATGATGAACGAGAGTTTCCATCAATATTAAAGTTCTACTTGTTCTTTTTATTTTGTTTGCTATTTGACTTTTCTTATTATTTAGTAATTACTTGTTAATACCAATAAAATTATCATCAATAAAATTTGACTATAGTTAAAACAATAATTTTTTAATTCAAAATTAATGAAAAGTGGAAGGTAGATCTCTTTTTAACTTTATATTATATTTTATCTAACTTCTATAGCTCAAGCGTATCACTTTAATTCTTTTATTCAAAGGAGCAACTTTCCTGAGGGTAAGAATGAAAAAAATTCAAATCTTTAAGAGGATTCTCAAGCCTTGAGCTGCAATCTCCTGAAGCGACTACTTTTTTACGTACACTCAATTGTGAGTTACTCCTTCTGGTTTTCTATTCTACCGATTACGATTCATCGTTTTAAAACTTGAACAATAAAAATGTATGCTATTGTGTAAATATAAATTCTCGAGGTATTCAATTTGCCGTTTTAATGTCACAGGAGTTTATTTAAATAGATTATGTACGATTTGAGGTCAAGCTTACTGAGGTCAATCGATTAAAGTTTACTTATTTTATTTTATTTACTTTTTTATTTCATTTTATTCTAGATGTGTGACCTTTATTGATTTACACCTATTTTTAATATTTTTTTTTATTTATAAACTTGCTGGTAAATATTCTGACAGCTTAAGACAAATTTTGTGGACCATTGAAACAAAAAAAAATATTTCAAGTAATTTTATTTTTATTATTAATATTACTTTGATTAAATTTGAATAATAAGAATAATTAATAATAAAATTGCAAGTAAAATATTATCATTATTATTATTATTATTATTTGTAATTAAATGAACAAAATTGAATTTTAATTAAAGAAAAGAAAAATTGAAATTACCAATAATTACAATTTAATACTTCAATTATGATGATGAAATTTATTTTTACTTTAGATATGTTTTTAATTTAGCCAGTAATTATCAGAATACTTTTAGCGCGTTGTATATTTATAGTTATAATCATGTACAAAGTAATTATCAAATAACATACTGCGATAGAATATAGGAAAGTATGTATAGTACATAATATACATAGTACATAGTACATAGATGAGTAAAGTCCGCTTGACTAAGTATTGATCTCCCTGCGGCTTGTTGGCAAGTTTCTAAAGTTAAAAATACACGGCCTTGTAATTCACGATGTGTAAGCATCCTCTATTTTCTTATTTTTTTTTTTATTATTATTATTTCACTCACCCTCATCCCCATTATTTTTTGTTTTAGTCTTTTTTTTGTCTCTATGTATATCTAGCGGATTGCATCACGCGAGGATGCATCTCTGCTCAATGGATTTTCGGGAAATAAAAAACCGCAATGAGACGAGGTCGAGTTGTCTTTGATCTTACTTCTTTTATTATTATCATCATTATTGTTATTTTTATTTTTTTAACACTACCTTTTTCTTTGTATTCACACTTTAGTTTAGTCAATGTCAGGCATTGTTCTAACGATTCACCAATTCAATCTATTTTTAAAAATAACTATTCAAATGTCTATCACAAATAGTTCAGAATTATGATGTTTTATCATCAACGATAACATAAAAATGTTTTTTTGACTAATTGTTGATAAGTTTTTCCTTAATTACTCCGAATTACCTTAATTACTTTTTTTAATTTAACGTTAAATGCAGATTAGGAACTATGAGTTATAAATCACTGTTAATAAGCATTAGGAAAAACTTGATGACTTACAAGTTTGTGATACAAATAAATATTATTTTAATTAATTAACATTGAAAAGTTATGATTTAGATTTTAAAAAAAATGTATTTACAAATTGTAATAAACTATTTTTTGATCTTCAAAATGATTTTCTTGATTCTAGACATTTTTTCTTGAATCGAGTTATTTTTTTTCACTGTTAAGAAAATAAATCTATGCAATATATTTAAAGCCGTGAAATAACGAAAAATTGTAATTATCTGTTGCAGATTGTGATAAAAAATAACCAGTTAGCAAAGGGCATTAATTGCCGAGTATTTTCTGTCAACTGATACCAAAACAGCCCGACCATTCTCTTCTCCAAGCCAAAGATGGACATAGAGGTGCAGGTGGCATTAAACTTCGTGATATCTTATCTCTACAATAAGTTACCGCGAAGACGCGTAAATATATTCGGAGAGGAGCTGGAGAAAGCGCTGAAAGACAAGTTCCAGGGGCACTGGTACCCGGAGAAACCCTTCAAGGGCTCGGCGTTCAGATGCCTGAAGACCGGAGACCCAATTGACCCGGTGCTGGAGCGCGCGGCCAAAGAGAGCGGGGTCCCGATCCAGGATATCCTGGAAAACCTCCCTACTGAGCTGGCCGTCTGGGTCGACCCTGGTGAAGTCAGCTACCGGATCGGCGAGAAGAACATGATAAAGATCCTGTACTCGGAAAGCGCAGACCTCCACGACGAGAGCTCAGCAGACCGCGAGGTCACCAAGACCTTCAACCCGGAGGCCCAATGCTTCAGACCGATTGAAGCTGTAGGGACTTCTTTGAGCGGCCTGAGTTTGAGTCCCAAGTCCACCTCACCCTTCCCGTCCTCTCTTGGCAGCAGCGCCAGCAACGGCTCTTCCAACAACCAAAGCGGCCACGGCTCCGGCTCCTCATCAGCACCCTCTCCCACGCCAATTACAAACTCCTTCAAGGGATCGCCTAGTCCGGTTCCGGCTTTTATTCCTCGCTCCACCGCTCCCTTGACCTTCACTACTGCTACTTTTGCTCAGACTAAATTTGGAAGCACCAAGTTGAAAACCAGCAGCAAACGAGCAAACAGGTATTTTGATTTTTTTTTTTATAGAAAAATTGATATTTTTTTTATCCAAATTTAATGGATAAGATAAAAGTTTTTTTTTTAATCTTTGGCAGTCTCATTTCAAATTCAAACCACAGTACACGGAAAATTTTCTTTAAAATGTTACTCTAAGAACTTGGTATTAAATTTCTAATTAAATGTTTTACAATCAAATTTTCCGGGAAAAATATCTGATATAATTTTTTTCAAATCTTTGATATTGGACCGAAAATTTTATGCAAGTCTCGTTTTTTTTTATGATAAAAAAAAATCGTTGAATAATCTAAGAAATTTAAATTTCTCTGATTTGAAATAGGACCGCTGAATTCATTATAAACTGATAAAAACACGACAATTTTTGGTTGTTCTTTTTTTTTCATAAAATTTTTATCTTTTCTCTTTTTCGCAAAAATTTATTCTTGAAAGATGTTAATGGTTAAAGTACAACAAAGTAATAAAGTTTCTATAGCTTTAATATAATTACGATGCTAAATCGAACCTTAAATATTTTTTAATTTTCTTTGCCAAAAACCAATTACCTTCTTTTGAATCAAAATAATTGCATCAATTTCGTTCCAAGATTTTCAAATGAATGACAAAAAATTCCTCTTTATTTTCTAAAAACCTCAAAAAACATATCTCGAGAATAAATTTTCCCCAACCAAATAGAAACAAAAAATTCAAAAAAATAACAAAGTAAAAAACTGACTGACCTAGATCATCAACTTCCAGAATGTCACCGACCGAATTTTCAAACTACATAAAGCAGCGCGCAATGCAGCAGCAAATTCACCACCACCACCACCACCATCAGCACCAACAACAGCAACAACAGCAATCCGGCCTACCAGTATCTCAAAATTCACCGACGAGCCGGTCGCTCTCTCCAGGGGTAGGCTCTCCCTCACAGCCCCAGCAACCGCAGCAGCACACCGACCCCAGCGCTTACTTCTTCCCGGGGCCTTACCACCCCCAGTTCACCCACCGCAACATCTTCGATTCCTCCAGTCACGGCGGATACTTGCCTGATCTGTACGGCGCCAAGTTTCCCTCGTCCTACTTGGACCCCTCTAACATCTCGCACCAGTTCTACGGAGGCGTAGGTGGGGGAAGTTCCCCCGCCTCTAACCTCGGGCCCATCGGGTCCGCCGTAAGCAGCTCCTCCGCCAACAGCCAGCAAGAAAAAACGACCCTCGTCGACGGACTCAACAACTTCGGGCTGGGGTCCGTCACCCCCTACCCCGCCAGCCAATATCAGCACCTTCTCGTCGCGAACTAATGTCCCCCCTCCAGGATCCTCGCTTGCCCGCCACGTCCATCTTCGGTCGTCTAACATCGCGGCGCCTGATTCAAATTTAAAAACTTCGGAGATAAGAAATTAGAAAAATTTTCATTAATTATTTATTAAGAAATAATTGCTTAATTATTCACATTTTTGCAAACAATCCCCTTTCCACTAAGCGTTTTTTTTTTTATATCAAAATTTAGCTTCCCCCCTTCTCTTTGTCACCATCTTCGCGTTTCTGGACGCCGGCCCGATGCGATTTTGAAATGAGAAATAAAAAAAATTAAAATTAAAGCCGGAAATGTTATTAATGAATCTAACCGGCGGATTTTATAATTAGGGACAACACTAATTAATAAACACTGACAACAATAATTTAAAAAAAAAAAAGAAAATATTGATGATAATATTAATATTAATAATAATACTATAAAATAAAATAAAATAAAAATAATATGATATTTATTACCATCAATCTAAAATATAACAACAAATAATAAATTACCTTTGTGTAATAATTTATTTTTTCACTGGATTAGTCGAAGAATATTAAATATTATATCTGTAGAGCCTATGTAATTATAATTAACAATGCACTCGGGGTTATTTAATTAATGGATGACAGCACATTCTCGACCAAAACGTACTGAGAAAGATATTAAGATAAATATTCCGTCATACCATCGAAACTCGTCCTTCGGTACGATCTTACATTTTATTTTTATAATGAAGAGTATCTAATCATATAATTATAATTACAAATAACAGAATTAATAGATGGTCGTGGCGCGTAAGTGGCTGTTCGAAAACAGAAACAAAAAACAAAAACAAAAAAAAAAAGGAAAAATGTTTTTTTTATAATTATTTTATTTTTTGTTAGTTTTTTTCTATTGTAGATTTATGATTTCATAAAAATGAAATTTTTTTTTAATTATAAATATTGATAATATTTAATTGTAAAAAATGAAAATTGTTTTTTTTTATTTTTTTATCCCTTTTTTAAGTATTAATTTTTATTTACTTGGCCACGTACGAGTCGACGTCAATTAGATTATTTAATCGGTGTATTAATTGTAATTAATTGGGAGGATTGAGAGGTATGAATTATTTTTTTTTAGATTGACAAATGTCGAACAAAAATAATAATAATAATAATTATTAATGAATAACAAAAAAAATAAGGTGATTATACGAGCATCGAGTGATAGAAATATTTATTTAAAAAATCGGTGTCACGAGCCGCGGGCCGGACACTTAGGTGCTAAAAGTATTACTGTTATCTTGAATCGCGGAAAATAAATGGACAATTGTGTCTTGACACTTGGTACAAGGCATTAATTTGAAAAGGAATGAATTTAATAAATAAAATAAATTGAATAATAATACGTTGACAACTTTCGGATCTAAAGAGGGTAGAACGAATTAAAAACACCAGTACCCTTTTTTTATATAAAAAATAATAATGATAAAATAATAATATCTAAACTTAATTATTATTATACTATTAAACGATACGTACGACTGTGGTAGCTATGCTAGTACCTGCTATTGTTAACAAAAATAATAAATAAAAGATGAATGATGATTTAAAAAGAAATAATAACTAAAATGATTGGGAAATGAATTAAATCGGTGCGACGAAGACGAGATGAGTTTTCACATGATTGCTTTTAATAAAAAAAAACAGTCACTGAAGAATAAATAATAAATAAATTAATTCATAATAATTAATAATATATTAATTGATTCATTTGATAAATTAATAATCAATCAAGTCTTATCGTTGGCACAAATGTCAAAATTCATTAAACGCGGGTTAATTGCAATAAATCGGAAATCAAATCGATCGTTAGCGGAACTTCAATCTTGCTGATGATTAATCAAACATGATGTATACTCTGATAAAAGTAACTTTAATAAAAAATAAATAATAAATAAAAACAAATATAAGGTTTAATAATATTAATATTGCGAGCGAGGTTATTTATCGGTTGGGACGATTCTATTAATGGTGCAATAAAATAGTGAGATACGTATGGAAAATTTTTGGGTTATTGTAAGAGGTCGGTTGGTAATTTATTGGAAAGTCGGCGATTGTTTATAGCCAATTTTAATGAGATTTTTCAGTAGATAAATATCTAGAAAATTTGTACAAAATTGAACGATTTGATGCAATAAAAATTTTTTTTCATAAATATTAATAATTTTTACTAGAAAAAAATCGATGATAAAAAATTATATCCGTCAATTTTCGTGAAAAATCGGCATGATTCTATAAGAAAATTTATTAAATGAAAATTAATATTAATATTCGGTACAAATTATCGGTACGTGTATGTGATGTTAGAAAATTACAATAAAAATTGGCATTATATCATAGAATCGGTAGAAAAAATTAGAAAAATTAACTGTTATTAAAATTATAACTTATCGTTGTGATTACTAATTATAAATCAGTGAAAATTAACTGTGTTAATCGGTTATGTAGTGGCCGTTAATTTATACTAATTCGATAAAAATATAAATGTTATTGATTATAAATATTTAAATATTGAATTTCAAAGTTGCCGATTTTTTAAGTGGATCCAATGATTGCCGATTTCAAATGGATATTAACTTCCGATCACAAATCGATGACCGATTTTTTCCATACAGACGCGAAAAAATGAAATTGAATTAAAAACGATGAACAAACATTTAGAGATACATTGGATTAAAATGATATGAAATAAAATAATTAAATATATAGTATTATAATGTTTATTGTATAACTTTATAAGTAAAATAAAAACCAATATGCTAGTTTTTCATCGCATTACTGAATAAATATGTACTCGTTATTGTAATACGCGATTTAAATGATAACGAACACGTAAATCAATACACTTATGAATAAATAAAATAACAACAAAAATAATTAAAGAAAACTCGTTCTCGCATGTATCCAAGTGGTCGATCTGTCTTTAAAAAAGTATAAAGTGTCTGTATATTTAGATAAATAAAATTTTTTAATAATCCGTGTTTACTATTTTAAATATTAATAATAATAATAATAAATATAATAATATTAATATTAATATTACTAATAAATAATTTAATAATTGGAAGATTTATATTTTTTTTATAATTAAATTGTTTATATCTTTTTTATTAAAAATACTTGAACAAACTTTTTTTAAATTTAAAGTTTAATAAAAAAAAAAAAGTTTAACGTTTAGTAAATGTATTTTTAATAGGTTGATATTAACAATATTAATGTAATGAAATTTATAAAGTCGAAATTCTAATAAATTAATAATTAAAAAATTTTTAAAAAATAAAAAAAAACGATAACCGTTTAATAATTAGTTAACTATAAAAATATATCCTCACAATATATTCTTATACTTAGCCAAGATAAAAATGAAAAAATAACAAAAAAATGAATAAATAAATATTTAATAATAACAATAATAATAATAATAATAATAATAATAATACTAATGTAGAGGGAGACGCAGGGTTTTCAAAAGTGACAATTTTTTAAACTTTTTGTTTTCAAATTGTCCTTTTATTTAGACCAGGCTCTATAAAACTTTTGCATGTACATAATATAGTTTACCATACAATAGCCGTCTCATCAGAATTTATTGAAAAAAATATAAATACAAATATGTATTTGCATTTAAAGCGGGTAAAAAAAATTTTTTTTTGGTACAAATTATAGCAGGATTGTGAGAAAGTTTTTTGTGAAAAAAATTTCTAAAGTTTAGATCGAAAAAAAAAAATTTGTAACTACAATTTATACCAAAGAAATTTGTTTTTTAAACTAGCTGCGATATGAATGTAAATATATATGTATGTAAAAACTAAAAATAATTGATAAGATTTTTTCTTGAGACATTACAATAAAAAATTTCGGATTTCTTATATACCAATCAACAAATAAACCTTTGAATTAAATAAAACTAATAAAAACAACAAAAAAACTAAAACAAAATAAATGATATATAATTAGATTTGTAATTAATTATATATATTTTTCAATACTTTAACTACTTGCTGTATGTAAAATTATTATTATAATACACATATTTAAATAATTAATAATAATAATAATATTAATATTTAACAAGACAAAAAAAATTAACTAGATTAAAGTAAAAATACACCTCCATCACGTTTGGATTAAAAAACCTTGTGGCGGGTCACACAAAGAGGTTTAATTAGAAAGAAAAAATAAAACTAGCTCCTTTATTACAACCTTTAATGAAAAAATAATAATAATAAAAATATTAAAAATAATAATAATAAATACTACTAAATCTAGTTGATTATTTTTCATGTGACTGTCGATATGCGCGTGCGTTTAAATCAATACTAAGTAAAATTAGTTTGAATATTAGTGTAAATTTTTTATCAAAGTGAAACTTAGTCTCAATTGGATTTTTTAGATAATTTTTTTCTATCCACGGTCGAAACGTCATTAGTTTTATTGATTATACCTTATATTATTGTATACCTTTCGTCCCTTATCCTTGCGTATATAAATTAATCAATGAATATATAAATAAATATATATATATCACTTTGTTATCTTTATACCGAGTAAAATGAATGAATAGTTAAAGTTAAGTGTGTTAAAGTGGCTTTCCACAGTTTGCAATAGAAAAATTATTAAGTGAAATTTATATGACTTATTTATGAAAAAAGTAAAAAAAAAAATAATTTATTTGTAACTAAAAAATTTTGGATAAATTTTATTGCCTTGCAAAGATATAACTATCCCTACATTATTATTAATTATAATATAGCTAATTATTTATCCATGAATTTTTTGCGTTATATTTTTTGTTTCTGTATTTTTGTACACATGAAAAGTGTTTGATAATTATATTAAATAATAATATATATATTGTGTTATATTTTTTTTTATTTTTTAACCGTATAATATTAATCTTGTATAATACGGAATTTTGATTTTTTTTTTTATATAGATTCGTGATTATTTTTTT